TTGTGTTATATAGTGAACTTTAATATTATCAAGTATCGTTAGGGCGGAAGTGGTGTAGTGGCAAGTGGCGCGCTTACCACGCGAGCGGTCCGGGGATCAAATCCTGGGTCGTGAGTCGCCCGGGCCAACCAAGCCTTCCATCCCTCCGGGGTCGGTTAATTGGTACCAGACTTGTCTGGGAGGATAAAAACACTGACTTGTACATCGGCTGGCCCCCGCAAGTCATTGTATAGGCCACATCGCATTCAAACGCCACTACGAATGTACAAATGGAAGTAGAATGCGTGCCGCATCCCAAAAGGGATTGATCAACGGCAAATGCTTTATCCTTTATCCTTTTTTTCATTATCAGTCAGCTGAAAAGGAAGGAAGGGAACAACGGTTGACGAAACTCGGATTTCATATCTCCAAGTGGTTGCAGAGAAGCCTCTACACGTCCCTCCTTCCGCTACCACTTTCTTGGGGATGCGTGCTCTCTGGCCGCATCTTCAACACTTTCCTATAGAAAAAAAATATACTCAACCTTACCTTTGATGATCTTCGAATGAATTTTTATTTTGCTGCAATTCAATTATGAAGAACAGCTCATAAAAATTTGAATCCTGAAGAGTGCCCACCTATAGTGAGATATGACAGCCCGATTGCATGTTGTGCATGGAATCACATCTAGGGTGGCACTCACCAGATCACATTTTTCATCTCCCTGGCCCCTAAGCAAAATGTGTTAGTAATTCTGAAGGTTTATGGTATTCTAACACTGCAAAACCAACCGAACTTCCGCCCCATCTTCCACATACGCATTTCACTTTTTCTAATTCATTATTGGGAACTTTCCTATTCACGTAGATCCTTCCACTGCTTCAGTTTCCTCTATGCCTACCTACGTCATTCAATCCACGTAATTGTTTTCCTTTCTTACAGAAATGTTCTTCCATAATCTCAGTCGCACGTGAAGAATTAGCGTCCCATTCCCCATTATTTTCTGACATTCATGAAATCTATTCGTGTACGGGAGTCTCCGTCGTCATGCTGCAGCAGCTACTAAGGATTCCCAGCTTTATAGGTCACAGTAATCTCTTCGGATGTGCGTATGACGGGCTTCCGATTGGGTTGTGGCGGCAAGAAAGACAAGCTTTCGCCGCCGGGGACAAAGCCGACTGCCCTTGTCGATGAGGTCAGCAGCCGAATATGATCATTTTGTCTTAGTATCACGACGTTTGTCAGGAAAGGGCGGAAGTACTGCCGTTACTCCAGAGTGATTGACCCAATGGCACAACTTATCTAGGAGAATTGTTGCTCATTTACTCTCAGCTGTTCAATTTGTAGTTTTCCAGTCCTATATCAGTAATTTCTGAGTATTGACAGGTGTCGGCACCCCGTGGCTTCGGCATACGCAGGCCAAAAAAAGGGCTGTGCTATCTGCACAATTTCTATTTATCTCCAACTGTAGAAGAAATGGAACAAGGTGGAGCGTGGTAGGTGTTCATGAATCATTTTATCTTTATATAATGCCCTTCATTTGCCAAAACTAGGAGAGCGTCGAGCGCAGACACATATTCCAAGTACGGACCGGCCCCAAAGAAAAAAAAGAAAGAATAAGTCGAGGAGATGGGAAGAGCCATTTTTCTCTTGTTCCGTTCGTAAAACTAGTGGTATGTGTCTGCACGCGGACTGTTTCGTGCTTTATTGGCTCAGGTTCACTCTCATAACCCTTTTGGTTTGCCGATGCACTACGGTGTTATTTATCTTGGTGAATGTGACGCAATTACTCGATTAGGAACTCTAGCAACGACTGAATACGCTTTAAGAAATGGGACTCATCCTGTGAGCTCAAAAAATTGTAAACAGATGAGGTTGTGTTCTGGGGGAGGAGCGACTTCACCTTCTAGGGCTACTTCTGCGACCGCTAGCCATTTGGACGGCTCTATATACTGGGTGTCTTTTTACTTGATGTCTACCTTTTCTTTTCGGTGATAAGAATTCTTAACCACTTACTTCTTGGGGCAAGACCACAAAGGGTGATTGTCTGCCGAAGAGAGACATCAATTCTTGTCTACTCTTCCATCTGACGGCGACGTATGAAAAGAGAAACATAATTCTTAGTATCGCTAGTCCCCATAATGAAAAGGCAGGGCTTTCGATCCCAAATACCATGATGCGGGTTCACTCTTCACGTTCCACAAAAAAGCGAGATCTAACGCCATTCCACTTAACAAGGCGGAAGTGACAACCTTCAACATGTCGCCTTTTGCAGAGCTTTTTTTATCACTCGCGTTCGGATGATCGCTGGCTAGAACACATCTGTGATGCCACAGAGAGAAGAAACAGGAATCCTCCTTTTTGGACATCTTTTCGATTCCTCAGTCTCAGAGCAAGACCTGCGAAACGCCTCTCACATTATGCTTCGGTTTCAGGTACCTTCTTCCTCCACCACCTGCTCAACGACGTGGACTGTTCATCTGCCGTCTTTGCACCGTGCTAGGACTACTTCTTTTGATCGGCGGGCTGGTTATGTCATCTGTACACATGGCCTCGAGGCATTCGAACAAAGCATTTACAAGATTGTTATCTACGAGGTGAGTATCCACCTTGTTTCCGCAGTCGTTTCTTGCCATCATTGCTATGCTATCATTGCTGCATTGCTGAATATGACCCCCGGATTAAGAATACTGCAGTTAGGAACTACAGCTTCAAAACCCATTAAAAGTCACAATCACAAGGGCATGGAGTAGGTACATCGTTTAGAGATTTATGGACGATTACCCACTTCGCCGACTAATTCCCTCCAATCAAATAGTTATTATTACCACTTGAAGTCTTGGCATAATGCCAATACCATAGTGTTCTTGTTTGTTCGACCTCTAAGACATTCCACTTTGGCCACCTTCGAATAATTTTTACTGCATGTCTATGTTTACACCTAGGCGAGGGGCGGGGATGAACCATGCGCCGGCTTCCCTCAAGCGCGACGGCACTAAACCTGTGCCTAGGGAAGAGTGGGTAGGCTGTAAACAGTGCGATGTGTTTCGCAGAATTCAACCTTTGGAAATTTTGAGCCTCTTTCCTCGTCTCAGGCTTTAGTAGAGCCACGGAGCCAGCAAGTTCAGACAACTCGTCCTGAAACGCCTTTCCCTTATTCCAAAAGGGATAAGGGAATTCTTGTTCAAGGGCTTCATCGGCGATTTGCCTTGCTTTTATTTTCAGTCAACTCGGCATCCCCAATTTCATTATAAACCACTGTTTCTCCACCAAGACCTGGGGATTTTGCTTCGTGGACACCACCGTTTTGCGGTTACGGTTCTGAAATCACTGGTGTACTAGTCAAACCCTCCACCTGTCTCCAAGCTCACCTACGTTGTGCTGAATGCTGAGGAAGAAAATCATTTCATTTTACATCTGCAGCACCATTCGACACAAAGTTGCCTATGTATCGCTGTGGTTCCTGGGAAAGGGAGCGACTCACTATGCCTCTTTCACTCGTTGACATATGCACCAGTTGGACCAGAAAGGCTTTGAAACACTCGGCGTTGATCAATCCCCTTTCGGGATGCGCCACGCATTTTAATGCTTCCATAGAAGCGTAGTGACAAGTTGGATGCGTTTTGACCTCTACAATTTCTTGCGGGTGCAGTCGGCGATGTAAAGTTCAGTGTTTTATCTTTGACGCAAACGCTGCGCGGGTAAGCACTGCCCAACTTAGTGGTACACCATTTCATTGGCAGAAAACATTAACATTTTGGTGACTGGCCGTCGTCACTTGTGGTGCATGGTCTGCACCCGACGCTTTCTCGCTTTTCTGAAAGGGAGGGTAGAATATGTAGCGGGATAATAACAAAACACGAGTTATGCAGTTTTTTCGCGGTACTCTTGATAACCTGAAACCCCGATATCGTGTGATTTTCTGCATTGGTTTGGCCAAAGTTTAGTATTCCACTGGCGATTTCTAGTTGAGCGAAAGTATGAGATCTTTGACCATTCAACTACGACTTGAGCATTCGTTGAGCCTTTCCGTGAAAACATCAGTGCACGATTTGGCATGCCTTTAGTTCAGCCAGCCGACAGGAACTCCTTAACAGCAATAGAGGATCCGAGCAACAGCGGCTGACTCCTACTTAGTCTTGGCAAAACACCTTCTTCTGGTGCTTGACAATTATGAACGAACGTGAAATGCCCTGCGTGTTCCAGAGGGCGCATATTGATCGGTGCAATGCAATTTACGCGATGGGCACTTAATAAAGCTTCAAATAAGCAGAAAGAGCAATATGATGTCACCCCAGCTTTTCCACTGCTGACGACAATCGGACTTCTTACTGCGATTCTGTAACACGAGAACAGTTATTTCTCGAAAAAGTGCGCGAACGAATCTTCCCTCCAGGGAACCGCCGAATGATCACCTTTCTGCGTGAAATCAAGCATCAATGGCTTTCAACTATTCTGTTCAGTGGAAGGAATAACTCAAGGCTACGCACAATCTCACTGAAAATAACAGGCTTTCACACCATCTTTGCCGGCTTTCTTGCAAAAAATATGTTTGGAAAGACAAAATTTAGACTGAACGGCGATTGCCTTTCTCTACATTCCCATGCACATTTATGAGACTTGTAAACATGAGTTCATTAATCACATCTTCGGGCATCCCAAATCGATTGGACCACACCATAGCAACTAACTAACGGCACAGTGGTTCAGATTAACGGGCTACGTAATGTATATTGACCATTATCAAATCATACGTTGTCTCAATAATGAGAGCTCAAACTGTTTTTATTAGAGCGAAATAAATGCTGAACTTGCTGGGGATAGGGTTAATGAATTTCATTGCTGTGAAGAATTTTACTGCTCTCTGGGCATGAATGTAGTCTGCAAGCATAAGTTCTTCTTCGTGACTCAGTGGCTGAAGCGCCAAAAGTCTATCGTATCATCAATATATCACAAAACTGTTGTAGCAACTATACAGGGAGGGGGGGGGGGGCAATGAAACGAAAACATTTTGCCTCCACATTCAAATGGATTTAATCACACTTTGCTGCTCAAACCGAATGGGCCCAACTTGAAATTGAAGAGCACATTCCATTTCATGAAAAATCTTCATAGTGGCCTTCTACGTGGACGGCATCAGAAAAACCTGCCCCGGAAACATGTGCATTGGTTGTGCTCAATGGGGCTGTCGACGGATCCCATACCATTACGACGTTTTCTGGAAAGCAGGTTTCGAGGGGGTAACAGTAGTCAAACTAATGTCTCTAGAAAACTATCCAACATTAAATCGATTCACGAAATTATGTAAGAGCTTCAGGCTGAAGCAGTTACGGTAGACCTCCTTGAGCTTGACGACGATGACAGATGACGTCATATTCTGAAGACGGTGAGGGCAGTGAAGGAGGGCCTGCGTCCACTTATAGAGGGACATTTGAGGAATATTTTGCTGACAAACTTCCGTCAACGACGGCAGTCCTTGCGACGAAAAGCGACATGAGCAAAATGTGTCCCCCCCTCACTGTATCGATACCAGAAAATTATTCTTTTCCTATCATTTTGCTTCCATCGCTGGCCCAAGGTCAAAAGAACTCAGGAAAAGCCGACATTCGCTGCTTTTCTTAGCTATAAGAGGAACTACTACTGAGACATGAGTTGTCTTCATATAGCTCTTGTATACATTCAATATCTACGGTCAGTGGGTGTCCGGAGCGTGGTTGGTCTCCAAAGGTGTAACCGCCCTAGCGCAACTCGCGAACCACTTTCGACAGCTCCTCTTTTCAGCTTGTTTGGACCTTCGACTGCATAAATATTCGGACAGGCATCTTTCGCTGAGTGCCGCAGACGGATTCCGTAGACTGATGAACTAAAACGGAAGGCATTATTTCTCCTCAGAAACGAGTTCTGACGGTCGAATCCGTAACATGGAAGGATGTTAAGGTCACCACATACCCTCTTGCTGGGAATAACACAAATTTTTTTTAAGAAATATTGGCGGCGCGGTAAAAAAGTTCAGTCACTTATGGGGGGGGATTTAACTGATATCTCAATATTATCGCACGAATTTTCCCTTCAAATTCTGAACTCGAAAAAATATCCATCATTAGTCAGCAGTACGTCCATGTCTGATCGAATAACTTATTTCCGCATCACATCAAAGAATTCATTGGTGCCAGAAGGTTGTTTGTTTTCACGTCGCTCCAGCTCCTCTTGTTTATATCCTCTCTCACGGGTGAAGTGGGAAAACAATTAAAAAAGCGGAATATCCTCCTTTAGCAGCCACTGTACGAAAAACAGCCGAAATGGAACGAGAAGTCACCGAGGTAGAATACATAAACATAAACACGGGCACTTGCTAAATAATGCCTCAGGGTATGTGAACAAAGGTCGGGACAACTCGAACACAATCTGAGTGTGGGCTCTGGATGATAAGAATTAAGGGCCCTACTCCCTCTCCCCGCACACCGACACTATTTCATAATATTTTCACAATCTTCCAGAAGGACTGATTTTCAAATGAAAGCTATAAGATATCCTCCAAACCTAGGAAAGAAATTATGTACCGTATCATCCATTAAACTTTGCGCGAACTGCCAAAACGTTACCCATCCGATGATCTCAGCTTTTTTCAAACGGGAAAGGTGTCAGTTATACTCTAGAAGCCACCTTTCCCGGGGTAGTGAATTTGTCATACTTGCCGATGCGCCGGCCGGCCGCACTTCACGCTCAGCGGAATCGGAACCTTCCACTAAGACGAGGCGCAACTTTGTTCCGCTTGAGCGGGTTGCAGTGTATCATTAGGCACGTCAAGAGAAACGGTAGCGCAGACCTGAAGCCCGGTTGGTAGCGCAGAATGTTCTTCATGGTCCATGCATTCAAACGCCTCAACGACCCCGAATGGCCAAGCCGCCGATGTGTGGGGTAAATCAAACGTGTTGGATCGCGCTGGACACATTCCATCACTTTTTCCACAGTAGATGGATAGCTTCGATTTGTCTTAAAATGAAGGAAAAACGGCGGAAAATGGCGGAGTAACGTAAGAAGACGAATAGAATTTGAGTGGTCGAATAAATCATCGAAAAAGCCCCTACACTCCTCAAAGCCCTCATAGTCTCATTAATATGTTTCGCCAGCCCACGCATATGCAGTGAGGAATTTGTCACAAGACTCCTTGCTGGGACTTCAAAGCGGATAAAAAATATGACCCCACATTCCTCATTTTCCGCCTCCCATATTTTTCCTACAAGCTTTGGGTTTAAGCGGTCTACTCTGTGCTTCCATGTGGACTAATGGATAAACATTGTTCGTGAGGGAAGCACTCAAAGGAGTTAGCATTACTACTAATATAATAATGAGTAGGGTGTGATGGGAAGTTGGCGATGTGTACCTCCGGCACGATGCAGGGATCAATTCCTGGGTCATACGCTGTCGGAGAGAACCAAGCCTTCAATCTCTCCAGAACCAGCCGATCGATACCACACTAGTCTGGGAGGATAAAAACACGTGTACATGGGCCTGCCTTCCCATACTTATCCTCGAGTCAATGCAGTCAGTACAGTCAAATCACATTCAACGTACCACTGCGATTCTGAATGGAA